GGGAGGGGGGAATTAAGATAATTTTAACGTGACATTTTCAAAATCTACCGACAATCCCTGGTGATAAATAATGATCGGTTCCCTTAACCTGATAGATGGCTCCTCTCTAATCCGTTGCAAATACTATATGTTATCTCGTACCAGACCTTTCGTGGTTGCAAGTTATCGTTACATGGTAGGATCTGGGTACGAGATTCACTAATTGTCTTATCCTCTCCATACATAGAATTTTGGTTGCTACCCGTCAATAATGACATATAATGCTGTGCGTCAGAAATATTTAAGCAGCAAACCAGGTTCTTGACCTTTCCGTTCTCAAAATAACTTTTCCGCACATGAAACAATTTTAAAAACCTCACAAACATGAAATAACCATGCCCCTTTGGCTCAGTAGGGAAACGGAGAATGGTTGAAAGAAACACAATTTCAGTTGCTCAAAAAAAAAAGGCGCTTCGGAGAAATTTTTTGATTCGTGCATGTTGAATTGACACTCTATTGAGATGTGACTTAGATGTTAATCTATCTATTGTCACTTCAAGTGCGGATGTTGATTGATATCTGGAAAATTCACCAAATTTTGGCGTCTCGAGTCCGCAGTTTTGGCAATTTTGAAAATTTTATTCATGTCAAACCTTACATTTGGTACGGAACAGAGACGTTAATGAGGCTTTCGGCAAAATGACTTCTGTCAGTAGCAGGAGCTTCCTTACATTGTCACTGCTTTACCTCTCCATTCTAGAATTTTTGTGATATCCACACAAAGCTACAGCGCGAGCAGATTAGAGACTACTGAGCTCGTGAATTGTCTTCAGTGGAACAGAGTAGTCATCATTTATTCAAACGCGAAATGATTCGCCCGCAGTTGTCTCATCTATGTCAAGTAGCCACCATTCAGCGGAATTTTTTTTTTCTATTCTTACCCCCAAAAAATGGAGTGAGGCTCGAACTCGCCCTTCTTGTTTGATGTCTAACTACATTCCACACATACTTGAAAAGTATAATGCAGTCTTCCCGAGAATCTATCGGTGAATATTTTGTTCATGGCCGCTATAAACTATTGTCTCTTATCGCCCGGTAGCGTCTGCTGACGCACGCTGATTCAAAGCTTATCGCCTGGGCAATACAGGTGGAACGAACTTCGTTAAAATCAGATATCAAAATTCAATTTACTGTTGCCAAAACAAAGATCAACAGGCATAATGTTGCGGCGATCAAGTTTAAATGTATTCCATAACAATGTCCGTTTATATTTAGAATATCTTCTTGTATTGTTACGAGAATATTTCGAGAGTGGCATCTACAGACACTGTTGAAATAAGATCCTTTGTGTTGGGACGCAAAGAATGTAGTTTCTTTGTTAATCCCTTAAGCTTAATGTGCTATGGTTTAATCGTCGTATAAAGCGACTATCAACTGGTATTATGTATATAAATCGTACTCTGCTCCTACCTTGAAAGCATATTTCATAATTCCTTGTTCGTACATCTTAAAAGCAGCTTGAGCGTGCTTGAACCATAGTTGATAAAGCTCTTTTGAAGTTATCCCATGGTACTCGAGGCTTGTTTGAAAGAAATATAACAGCGACATTGTGATTTCTAGCAGAACGGAGATAAAAGATCGTCTACGGCCTGAAATATTGTCAATTCCACGAATCGACTGATCTTAGGACGGCGGTTAATGTGGGTGTTTTAACCGGTTGCTTCCTAGTTTGTCAGCGAATGCTTTAAGGAATGGCTTAGTTCATATAGCTGCAGGCTAATGGGTTAATTCATGGTGAGGAAGTACACAAATTGCATTATTTTCAATGCTGCGATTCGATTGGTTAAAACGTAAATGTCTTATATTATTGTGTCTTTTGTTGGGTTCTTTAAACGAGTATTCAGCTCATTTTGGATGCCATTGGATGTTATCTTAAGCTTTCTTGACTTAAATTGCGAAATTAATCTCTCAAAGAAATTATATTTCAATTTTTGAGAACTTTTCAATGGTCTTTGAAAGAAGTAATATCAAAATATTTTGTGCTCGATTTTCAAAACAAAGGAAAATGTTTTTTTTTAAAAAACATCTGTATTTATCTACCTATCATTAAGGATATGTCTATGTCTGTTTGGATACTGTAGCTTCATGCTAAATATCACTCATTTCATTATATTTCCTTGGCCGGCTTAAGTTAAATGCTCTTGAACACAATATACCGTGTTTTCTTTATTTTCGTCGGCAACAAAAACTTGTGTGAAGCCGTCTCAAGCAATATCTGATCTAGTTATTTCGATTAATTATTGTCTCGTACAACGAGAAAACGTAACATTAAATGATACATAAGGATGAGTGACTTTCATCCGGCAGTTGTGAAGTGCTTCAAGATTATAGCTTCCTTCAGGTTTTTATTGGAAGTTAAGCCTTGAATTGACCTTGTTTTGTGCGCGCAGCCGACTGTGCCAGTGATGTCGGTTGCACAGAAGTTAGGAATGTGCAATTCATTCATTTTTTCACATGAATATATTCTTTCGTAACCCTCGTCTGTTTGGTAAATAGGACTTCTTAAGCGATGCGGTGTTTTTGAATGATGCGCTAGTAATTGCACACTTTTCTTTCAGCGTACCGCAATCATCTGTGGTTTCAACTTATTTAAAAGGGCGAGTCACAGAATCGTTCGCGGTTTCGATTAATTATTATCGAAAAAGCACCATGAATAACGAGACATTTCAAAGCAGAAAATATAAATTGTTATCTAAAGAAAGCTTTTCTTCTGATTAAAAAATTTTTCAGTTACAGTATCAGGTATTCGAAAAAAAGGCCCATACAGCTCTCGTGCAAAGATGTTACCGCTAGCAATAGTTTAACGCTGTTCACCTCAGTTTTTATTTAATTTTAGGACATATTACAAATGCTTAAAATTCAGGAATTATCTCCTTGACCCAAAGGGCACAACCTCGACTAAGTGGAATTAAAATATATGTAATTTTTAAAATAATTTTTGGTTTTTGTTCTTTTTAATTGTGAATGTTCACAAGTCTTTTCTCATTTGTCTAGTATCTTTGCAATTCATTTTCGTTTTGTTATCTCGATCCTAGAAGCAGTAAATTGAACTAAAAGATAAAAGGAATTAACGTAAACACTCTATATCATCTCATTGTTTTTTCCTTTGTATTGATCGCTGAGAGTCTTTTATTTTTCCTACTGCGGCCGTAAGTGATATTATTATTCAAAGCTGTTTCCGCTGAATTTTCAAATTCAGTGGTCAAGAAAAATTAAGTGTCAACAACAACTGATATTGTTATTTTATGTCGCCTCTGTTTCTGCCTGATATTAATCTGGTGTACATCGGGTCGGTGCCTTCGCCAACAATCTTTGTCGATATTTCCTTAATCTGTGTGCTTAATGCGAGTATCGATTTTATAGAAATAGTTTATTTTGAACTCCCCTAGCAATGAATCAGTGGTATGCTTCAAGTTAACCAGAAAAAGGGAAAGAGAAATGAAAACCACATCCTGAAAAAGGAAAATTATGGCAGACGAAATATTGGCTCACATTTTAATGTTTTACACACAAACTAGTGTAACCAGGCTCAGCACATGAATGCCAGAAAGGAAGAAAATTTTTGTTCGTTAAATTCCATTTTCGATTTTTTTTTTAGGAATTCATTACCAATATGTAAATTTTTATTTTGCGAAACATCTTTAAAAAATACCAAAAAAATAGCGGCAAAAAAAATCGCTTGGACGAAAAGCTGAATTTGACACAGAAAGTCGAACAATATCTACTTTATTTTTGTTTCTCTTTTTTTTAACGCTGAAATGTTTGACAGAAATCCTTGATGTTAGACACAACGACACCTACTATGTCTGGCTTCCATTCACCAAAGAATAACGAACCAACCCGCCCATAATCAGCAAAATAAATTCTACCGTTAGGACTCAAACCGAATGCTATATTAAGACCATTAAGAATGTTGGCCACGTTAATACATTGTAATCAGGCAACTGACAATTACAAATGTATTGGACTGTTATCGCTTAATTAACTCCACACTGAGCGCTTCCGTCACGCTTATTGTTTCCAAAGCCACACTTCAAAAGTCGTTTGTAATTCGTAAGGAATGCTTCCATACGAAAACAATATATCCACGGATTCATTGCAGAATTACTCAAAGCTAGTGTTCTCGCCCAGTTGTATGCCACTCCAACATTACTTTGGGCATAGGCGCTGCGAAGGTACATCAGCGGAATCCAACAAATTGTGAAGACTATGACAACAATAGCAACCGTGACTGTCACGCGACGTTCAACCAATTGTGAGGCACTCTGTCTTGCGTGACTATGAACAACGTCACGGTTCCAAACTTTAAAAATGATCAATGTGTAGCAGCAAATGATGGTTAAATAACAGATGGCCGCAGCAATGACGGTGAAATAAGAAGTTGCTTTCTTGATCACTGACATTCGCAAAACACCATAGATAACCGGAACAATCCAGGCGATAAGTAACGCTAACTTGAACCTCTTCAGTGTTCGGATCGCTTTGCTTTGAACTGGTCGGACAATAAGGAGACAGCGATCGATACTGATAAAACACAAGTGGAGAACCGAAGCTGAGCACGACATGTTCCCAACAACACGAAATGTTTCGGACACCGGCTCGTTACATTCGCGATTTACATGAAGCCCCCAGAAAGCTATGAGCAGCGGCTGACCCAAAGCAGTGACCATCAAATCGGCCACAGCCATACTCGCCAACCAGAAGTTGGGAATAATCTGTAAACTCTTGTTGGTGTAAACTGTAGCGATCACCAGAGAGTTTCCGATGGTTCCCACGACACTTGACAAAATGTTAATTGGAATTAACGCAATTATGTGAGAAACTGGTAGGAGACAATCATCTAAATGGGATTCATTTGATGAAAGATTCATGATGCAAGTGAAAGTTGTCCTTCCACACGCCTTCAATCGCTCAAGTTCTTCAGAGACTGTAATAACAGCTGACAGCAAGGCCTGCAAGGCTGTTTGAAATGTAGCAAGAAATATTTCGATATCTGTCCTTTGATATAACTCAATACACGGCTAAACTGTACTAGATTCAATCAGGAAGCTACACGAATGAAAGCGAAAATGCTGAAACGCGTTTTAGCACAGAGTTGCTTCATCTGTGACGTCATAGTTGTGGCTGGGATTTCTTAGATGTCGTACATTTCTGCTTTCCAGTGCTTTAAAAACTAGTCTTGAAGGTTTTTGGGAGGTTTAAACAAAAAAAATCATAATAAATGGTGGTCGAATGTTGGCTATAGGCACACGGATTTGTTTTGTTTTGTTTCGCTTTTTTCTTTTCAGAACTTGACAGAAGAACTCGCTAAGTAAATTGATTTCCATTACTTAATGGTTCAATTTAATCAATCGTTAACAATTAACTTGCATCTATCCTTGCATCATGCTTCAAACCACGAGCTCTTGAGCTCCTGTTCAAGCATGAAAGTTTACGTGGCTTTGCCCCCTCCTCCCCCCCTAGTAAAAACAAAATAAAACAGGGGAAAGACGAACATACAAGAAAGCAAAGGAAAAAAGAAATGAGGCGAAATTTTTGTTCTGTATGATTTAACTGATTAGGCAGTTCATCTAGATATTTTTATCACTTGCTCCTGATTTTTATTTGCATTACTGTCTAAAACGTTAGATCTGTAAGAAAGTCCTGGCAGTCTGAAGAATGTTTCACACATGAACCATAGTTTCATAACCAAGTTACGCGAGTCTCCTAAAAGCTTAGAGATAGAGCCTCTGAGGCACTGTTCTTAAGTTTATGGGTTTCGCTGCTGGAGAAGCGATCAGGTTTGCATTGGGTAATTGTTTGTTTTCGAGTTCCAGCCAAAAACATCAAATTTAACCTTCTCTTTGGGTGCCTTTCTAAGAAAGAAATTATCGAGATGAAAATCATTTATTTATAGCTAATAAGAAAGCGCTCGTTTGTCATCACCTGCTTATATTTTTTCGTTGTCACGCACAACACAGCACCAATATAATCGGAGTCACGGTCGGAGTCACGCAAGAATTATGTCACGCCACGCGGTTTCTTGCATCGTGAAGATATATTCTTTGTTCGCGTCGTTCGTAATGGAAGCAAGCTCGAGACCTGTCGTTGTTCGTTTTCCTGCTATCATACTGCCACCTGAACTTCAAAAAATGGTAGATGAAGCTGACATCGATATGATCGTCGCCAATCCTAGCGAAGTTTTTAAAATGAGCGAAGAAAGTACTCGAAGAGTTGCAGGAATGGTGCTTTACACAAAAACATATTGTAAAATAAGCGGAGAGTTGATGGATTGCTTTCCTAATCTCAAAGTTATCAGTAATTTTGGTGCTGGTGTGGATAATGTTGATGTAGTGGCGGCCTCTGAACGTGGAATTGCTGTGGGAAACACTCCTGGAGTTTTGTCAGATTGTACAGCAGACATGGCATTCGCTCTGTTAATGGCTTCCGCGAGAAATATAGTGGAAGGAGACAAAATTTCTAAAAGTCCCGAAACTAAACAGGTCAGTTTTAATTTTGATAAAGGGAACGATCAATAACTGATTTTCAGGGTTTTTGTTCAAACTAGTATATTATTGTAAGCTCATGTAAGCCTCTGTTCAGTCAGGAGGTTTCGTGATTGCTAAGTACGTGTAGCCGTTTCTCCTTGGGGGGAGGGTACGGTTACACTTGAGCTGCGTGATTTGCGTGACAGTTAGCGGAATCGAACGAGCAGGCCCTCTAAATTCACAAAAAGGAAAAAAAAGGAGGGGGATTGGCTTTTAGGTTGTACAAGTAACAGTTAAAGTAGCTTATTATGCTCCTAGCATTGCTCGGATTTTTTCCAAGTTATGCTTTGCTTTCTCGGTTTTGAAAATCAAGCTACTTTTTCTTAAATTATGCTTTTCAAAAAAGAAACGCAAAACAAGTCCAAATCATACATTTATTGTTAATACCTTCTTTATTTTAAACACAGTCAACAACTGCACCTAATTCCAGACTAGAAACGGAGACTCCATGTATCTGTTAGCATCACGTTTCTCTTCGACACCATTTTGTTGCCTATAAAACGGGAACTGGCATCGAAGGCCACGGGGGTGGTTGCCGAGAACTCACCACCATTAATTTTGGTTGTCGAATAGTCATCATAATTGATGAAAAACAACTAACTTCTTGGTGTATCTTATCTTACTCTTGTCATAGATCTCTTACTTGCATGGTTATTACGGTAGGAGGGTGACCGGATCAACCATCGGAATTGTTGGTATGGGCGGGATTGGAAGTGCTGTGGCTAAACGAGCTAATGGATTTGACATGAGAATTGTGTACCACAACAGAAACAGACGTGAAATCGAGGAGAAGAAATTTGGTAAGATTACAAGTAAATGTTTATGAAGTAGCGTCGCTGCAGCTCCCTTAAGAGGAGTGAGGTCTTAAATTACTTGTTCTGAAGTATTTGTTAAGGGGGGAAGACTTATTTGTGTAAAAGATGAACAGGGTGACTTGTCATTTTAAACTGATAACAGCAACTAAGTCAAAGAAGAAGCGACAACTGCAGGAACTTGTCTTTATTTATCTTGTTAGTTATTTATTTGCGATTTTTATACAGGCTGGCCCTGTTTACTTTTAAAGCTGGTTTAGATGAGGGCCTGTAAAAAAACTGACAAGGCTAGATCACAACACCGGGAGCTACATCCCCTTCCCCTTGCGAGGAGTGTGAGGGCTCTTTAACGTTCCCTGCTAACCAGTTCAGAGAAGATGCAGAAAACGGGCCTACAGTTTATCGTCCTTAATCCATAAGACTAGAATTTCTAACCATTTGCGGATGCCATAGCAAAGGCAGCACTTTCTCCTCAGTTATTTTCAGACCTTAAGTGCTGGTCCGGTGTAGGGATTGAACCCCCCACGGCAGTTCGGCGCTTTAAAACCGGAGCTTTCCATGCGCGTTACGATGTCGGTTCATTGAGGCCCTTGATCCAAGTAAACCACTGGAATGCAGTCTACCAGTCTATGCAACTTTAGGTTGACAAACCGTGTCCAGCTGGTTTTCCTTCAAACACTTCTCGAACTTCTGTTTACCACCTCTTTACAGGTGCTCAATACTGCAACACTCTAGACGAGCTGCTCTGTCAGTCAGATTTTGTAGTGCTGTGCACTCCTCTTACTAAAGAAACAGCAAACCTGATAACAGAAAGGGAGTTAGCTCTGATGAAATCAACAGCGACACTTGTTAACATCGCACGTGGAGGAATCGTCAATCAAACTGACCTGAGCAAAGCGCTGCAGAGCGGAGTAATAAGAGCTGCTGCGATGGACGTCACAGATCCCGAGCCCCTGCCTAGAGACCATCCGTTATTAAAACTACCTAATGTTATCATTACGCCGCATATGGGATCAGCAACTGTCTACACAAGAATGAAAATGATGGAGGTGGTTTTAATGAATCTTAAAGCTGGCTTGAATGGAGAGAAGTTGCCCTTTAGGTTTAATTAGAGAGCTTTCAGGAAGGAGGTACGGAGTTCGTAGTCGTAAGTGTACACTAGTAAAGGAATGGTTGTTGGAAAATAATTATTCATTGAACTGTTAAAGTCGATGTAGTATTCAATGGGTGGTTGAGTGCTACTTATACTTCGTTCAACGTAGTTTTGTCGCCGTCGTGGATCAACAGCGACTGACTCCCCCGAGGCCAGTTTCCTGCACTCATTCTTGACTTCTTTCGCTTCGCTTTGAAAACACTCATCATGAATACAGGACATGAATACGTCTCTCACGCCTGAATAATAAATCCGGAATATTTATACATATGTAATTATATTATTTGTTAGCTTTATTCAGATAATAGCAGTATTCGGTGACACTCTGTGTTCATTAATTAGCACCTTGACGGTAAAAATTTAATCTCGGTCTGTAACTTTGCTGTGTCTGTAACTTCTTTTTAGAGGGCATTTGGATACCGGCAGGACAGCGAATAAATCAGCATGGTGTGGACTGAAAATTCACGTTCTATGATATCAATAAAGTTCCCATACACTTTATGCCTAGATAAGCTGGAAACCACTCCGCTTCGCGTCGTGGTTTCCTACGCTTATGTCGTGTTCTCCCAACCTCCCAAGTGTTTACATCAGGCTATGTAAACACGGAAACCATTTTACATTTCTTCATTGGTATATATCAAAATAGTGAGATAATATAGAACAAAAATATGATGTCAACTCCTTTATTCCTGCAACTATTACAATATTTTCGGGCTCAAAACACACGCGAGTTGCTCGGAGGTGAATAGAAAAGGATATTCGAAGTTTGATTTGCCAATCGGAACGCGCTTTCGACGCTATCTACTGCTTCAGTATATACTAATGTATACAAGTGGAAGGAATAGATGTTGGATAATTGCTCCTCACTGAACTCAAATGCAGAGTCTATGTGACTTGTTTTTTATGATTTACTTTGTAAACTGAAGTGTGATCCGCAAATGCCCGGCTTTGCATTGCTTGTGAAATGAAAGGACACATCACGCTGGAAACTTCAACCAAGGAAAGAAAAACCACCAAAAATATCAATCCTAAAAAATTTTCCGCATGAAGAATCCTTCCAGTAGTTTGTTGTTTCTGTCTCTGCCGAGACCCATATCGGTTCTTTAGGAAAGAACTAAATACTTCACAACAGTCTTTGTTATATTCATTTTCCTCTCAGTAAATGCAATTCAGGTTAACAAATGAAATGTTTGTAATTCACAATTCATAACAGTGTATAGGCAAGATTGATGTTGTTTTATAATAAAGTTCGGATATAACGCGCGCTGTCATTGGTTGAAAGGGCGTGC